CTCCTTGGTCACTAAAATGGCCTATATTCATATGGAGCAAGACTATGACAAGATCCAATTTTGGCCTGATTACAAGCAATTGGCAGGGAATGATCATCTACAATAGGAGAGAATCTAAACTTCTTGCATTGACATTCAAGGGCATTTTCATCATTGAATCCCCCCACGATCAACATCTTGTTGTTTTCATCAGCCAGATCCTGAACTGGGCCAGCTGTATAAACTCTGTGACTTTTAGAGGTCAGAGGCTAGGAAATATGCAGCAACTCCTCAGAGACTGCCAGGTACAAGTCCGAAATGTGATGGAATACTCCCCACTTGCCTGGATTAGGACAGCTCCAAATATGCAAAGATATTCAACTCCATCCAGGACAAAGCAGGCTGTACTGTAATCTGAGTACACGAATCATGATATTCAATAAGGGAATTAGATTGTTAGCTGTAAAGGAACAATGTACAAGTTTAGAGACAGAGAAGGCAGGAGAATGGCACTGGGTGAGATTCTCATTCCGAAAGCCGGTGCAGACGCAATGGTCAAACGGCTTCCTTGTGCACTGCATCAATTCTATGATTCTAACTGCAATGGTGACCTTCAACATTCTCTTCCTTCACCACGGGTGGACAACTGCAACAGTTTGTACCAACATCAACATGCACTGAAGCAAATTCCCCAGGTTCATTCAACATCACTTCCCTAAACCACAATCTCTATCACCTAGAAGCAGGTACATGGGGACAGCACCCTTTGAGTTCTCCATCAAGTTGCACACTCTCCTGACTCGAACTATATCATCATTCCGTCAGTATCACGAGGTGAAAATCCTGAACCTGCTTCACAGCAATGTATGTTTGTCTATACCTCAAGGATGACAGCAGTTCAAGAAGGCAACTCACTGTCAACATTGTCCAGGGCAATTAGGGATGGGCAATAAATGCTGGACTGGACAGCAAAGGATGTCAAGAATAAATAAATAAAACAAAATTGGTGTTCTTTCTAAAGCTTACATTCCTTCCTAAATTGGGGCCATTTGTTTTACAAACTCACATAACAGATGATCATGGGAAAATCATGAATTAATTGTCACCGTTTCAGAAGAGACTCCTTCAGAATGAACACTTCCCATCACTGCCAGAACTTCCCCACCCTGTGCACTGTCATTGCTTCAACCACTCATTGCATGTTGACTTCATCCATTGCACATCCATCTAATGGCTCCCAGCCTGGATTGACATTCAGCATTTTGTGATGTATGGGGTGAGGGGTGGTCGAATGCCTTGTGCCAAGTAACATTTCATCTGGACAAAGCTCATCTCACTTAAACACGTACTGTTCTGCAAATTCATCATTGTGTTGTTTTCACTAATGTCCCTGTTCATTGGCATAGAAGCTTCAAAATTTACCTTGAGGTTTTAGTTACAAGAAGTCTCCACAAAACCAACAAAATGCCAAGATGTCTGTAACTTAGCATCTTTCCTTTTCTGCTTTCTATTTTCTGAATTATCTTTTTACACTTTACTTCAAAGGCAAGATTCTAATCACATTTAATATTGGCTTCTAATCATAGAAAAATCAAAGATGTACTGCCAAAATTCACCAAAGATCCTCAGACAACACCTTCCAAACGCACAATCATTTCCATCGAGAAGGATAGGAACAGCAGCTGCATTGGAACACCACCTTCTGCAAGTCATCTCCAAGCCACTCACCATTCTGACTTGGAAATATATCACTGCTCCTTCACTGTTGCTAAGTCAAAATCCTGGAAGTCTCTCTCTAACAGCATTGTGGGTCAGCCAGTAGCACATGGACTGCAGTAGTTTAAGAAGGCAACTCACCACCACATTCTCAAGAGCAATTTGGGATAAGCAATAAATGCTGACCAGCCAGTGAGACCCATGTCCCAAGTGAGAAGAAACAAAAATCTTGTTGATGACATAATAAAATTACAGTATTAAACCAGTGAAAGGGCAATCTGGCTCTCAAGATATTAGAATGGCCAAGGGCTGGTAGTGGTTCCAATCTTTACATTTTGTATCTCTATTTAAAGAGGAAATGGAAGATTTTGTCAATCCCATCATGTACTCACTTGGTTGATTCCAATTTATAGTCCAGATGCTTCCTATTGCTTCTACCGAGTGCACCGTCTAGGTTTCAGAACAGGTACAGACAGGTCACTCAAATCCTTGGCTCTCACGCATGGATGTTTTTGGTCTCCACTAAGAGTGTCAGAGCTCCTGAAGGTTCCCGTAAAGACGTTCCACCTCTACCTTCAGATGGCCAGTCACTGCTATCACGAGTCAGGATGCTGTGGTGGGAGATGGAAGTAATGTTTTTATACTCAATTGGTTTGGTAGTGGGAAAAAGCTATGATCCCTGTGTCCTCCATCATTCCTCCCCTGGAGCAGAGTCACCTCATTGTCCCCACTCTTCTGCAGATCAGTTTGGTGGAGATCAGTGATGTTTTGTAAGGGTATGGACACAGTATCCGTTATCCTGTTTAAGGCAGCAGACACTTTTTCAACAGACAGTTCCACAGCTGTAACAGAAAGTCTCTGGAACCTCCTCCATTGTTAAGACCCAATGAGCTCCCTGCACTCCTCCAAGTACATTTGCCTCATACCCTTTCCAAATCCCTCTCGCAAACGCCACATTCACTATTGGTACCTGTGTTTTCAGCTGCTGAGGCCACAAGCTCTGGAATTCCCACCTTAAACTTTCCTAATCTTGTTTAAGAAATGCAAGATAAAATAGACTTTTTTATTTAATGTTTCAATCACCTGCAAAATACTTCAGAATGATGAATATCTAAAAGGTTCATAGAAACATAGAAATGTAGAAGATAGGAACAGGAGGCGGCCATTCGGCCCTTTGAGTCTGCTCCACCATTATGATCATGGCTGATCGCCCAACTCAATAGCCTAATCCTGCTTTCTCCCCATAACCTTTGATACCATTCACCCCAAGTACTATATCTCGTCACCTCTTCAATACATTCAATGTTTTGGCATCAACTTCCAGTCGTAATGACTCTTCACTCTTCGGGTGAAGAAATGTGTCCTCATCTGCATCCTAAATGGTCTACCCTGAATCCTTGGACTGTTGCCCCTGGTTCCGGTCACACCAACCATCCAAACGCCCTCGCTGCATCTACCCTGTCTAGTCCTGTTAGAATTTTAAACGTCTCAATGAGATCCCCCTCATTTGTCTGAACTCCAGCGAAAACAATCCCAGCCTCGTCAATCTCTCCTCATACGTGAGTCCTGCCATCCTCGGAATCAGCCTGAAAAACCTTCACTGCACTCCCTCAAGAGCAAGAGCATCCTTCTCCTCAGAAAGGGTGACCAACACTGTACACAATATTCTAGGTGTGGCCTCACCAAGGCCCTATATAACTGCAATAATACATCCGTGCTCCTGTACTTGAAACTTCTCGCAATGATGGCCAACATACCATTTGCCTTCTTTACCGCCTGTTGCAGCCACATGCTTACCTTCAGTAACTGGACACCCAGGTCCCGCTGCACACTCCCCTCTCCCAGTTTACAGCCATTCAGGTAGTAATCTCTGTCAGTGGATATGTAAAAACCAACACAGTGGCTTTTGGATGATGTCACCAAGATGCAAATAGGAGCAGCCAGAGTTACATCCTTGGCGGGGAACAAGTTCCAGATCTTTGGGGAGAAAAGGGAATTTGGAGGGGAGGTCAAGGTTGGTTTTCAAAAGAAGGATTTAGAGATGAGAGTGACTATAACAGACAAAAGGAAGAACTGTTAACAATATCAGCAAACCGGCATCTCCCCAAGGCCTCCCGCTTGTTCCACTACACCCAGCGGCAGACCCTGTTCTCCTGAGCAATCTCGAGCACAGTGTGCCTGCTGCTGCCCAGGGAGCTGGCCAAAATCGGTCATTGAGGGCACCAAAGTGGTCACCATGTACACCAGCTCCAAGTAGGACCGTCTCTTTTAAGAGCGACTGACAAAAGAAAAGGTGAAGACTGGATGCTCAGTAATTAACTAGAAAGAGAGTCGAGGGACTTGGTGGTGGGTCTCATGGACGTGAAGTGCTCTGGAGCCAGGAGAGGGCTTAGACAAGGTGGAACTTCAGAGAAGGTTTCAGGGAAAGGAGGGACATGGAAGAGACAGATAATCAGACTGTCTCAATCTGAATGACAAAGAAGCTCCATGAGCTCCTCACAAGATGGAGGTGATAGGAAGGGCAAATACTTCTAAAGAAAGTGCTAAAGCCTTTAGGAAGCTTCAGCAGGCCATGTGTTTCCCACAAACGTGACATAATTGTC